TGTGAAGTGAATTGTGAAATGTTTGGTGAGGTCTTTCCTCTAATTGACACTTTGAGTATATTCTAAAGAGGAATTTTAAATTTTGCATAATGGTGGATTATAATATATGCACTATAGTATTAAAAAGTTAATTTCACCTTGATTAATACCTAAAAGGATATAGTAGGCATTAATATTATTATGCGCAGTAAATATTTGATTTAACTGAAAGGTAAAGATTGAGATTATGAGGTGAACAAACGTTATGAGAAGGTGTAGTCTAGTTAGCACTCTAATTAACATTCCCAAATTGACTCTATCATATATTTTTGACATATCTTAAAATATGATTCAGAGATTATTGTGATGAAATGATGCATCATATTTAATATTGTCAAGAATATTAATTGGTTTGAAGGTACTTCTGAAAGGAAAATTAGCAAAATTGTTACCTTTAAGAATATTATTATTAGCTAAAATAGTGAGAAGTCGAATATTTATAAATTTAATCTAAAATTATCAGTTCAGTTCAGATTTTTTTCAGATCAGATTAGAATTATAATCTGAAAAAAATCTGAACTGAACTGAAAATTTTCGGATTGATTTTTATGCAATCTGAAACTGATCCAATCTGATCTGATCTAAAAAATCTTCAGATTAATCTAAACTGTTCAGAGCTTTACTTTTGAGTTTGTTAATGTTAGTATCCTTTAAATATCTGTTCAATATTTTTTCAGCAACCTCTAGAAATATAAATTCTTTGATTTCCAAGTTCATTAGCACAGTTATTTGTCTTTCTTTTATTTATATTTCTTTAAATTCTTGAACTTTTGCAGTGACCCTTTTATTAAATTTACTACAAAAGTCTGTTAAAACCCATTTAGAATGATAAATTACTTTTTCTACTTTATTACTATATAGTTCATAGTTAAATATTTTGACAATAAGACTTTTGATAGCTGTGTTTGATGGATTCTTATATCGAAGAAATAGACATTTTATTTTCTCATGCTAAAGATGAGCTTGTGATCTTTCTTCAGGCTGCGTAATTACAGATTTTGTAATTCGTAAAATTGCAGTAGGCAAATTAGATATATATAACAGAAGAATCTAATGACGTATTAAAAGCATTGAACATCTAGTTCACTATCATTAAAATATCCAGTCTTTCTATTACTAGTTATTGGCAAACTTTAAAAGAGTTTGTCATATTCTTAAATGCTCTAGGTCTTCTTAAAATTAATTAAATTGTTAAATATATTAAAAAAGTGATTTAAAAGACTTAAAGTAAGTAAATTTTGATATATTTACCTATCTTATTTTTAGAATTTTTGACAACTTTTACATTATCATCAAAGGTTTCATGAATGTTATTATTTTTTCATTTTTGGTCTTTTTATTGGCTTTTATCACTTTTGTTCTTTCTTTATGATAATAACCTAATAAAGCAGTTTTATATAAATAAAAATAATATTACACAAAGTAAAGAGTCATTATATATTTATCAGTTTCTTCTGTTTCTTTTTCACTTTCTGTTAATTATAACAGATCTATTTTGATCTTTTTAGAAGACAAGTTATGTTTTGTTAGTATATATATATATTAAAATATTACTATCTGCAATATTGAAATCTTCAGTATCTTTAGATCTTAATCAATTAGTATATTCTTTAATTAATAAGAAGTTAGTTTCAGAAAAAAAAAGGTAATTTTAATAGCTTTAATATGATGAACTTATCAACATATTATTATCTTCACTATTGTTGTAATCATTATTTGATATAATAGGTTGCATTAAATTACTTAGAGTAATTGGAATTTGTAAAGTTAAATTCAGTTTTATAGCTTGCTTTCCCTTTTTGTGACTTTATTAGGAGAAGTGAGAATAGTAGAAGCTTTAAACATAATTATTTCTTCACTTTCTTTACTTTCAGTATTCTCTTTATTAAAATCAACAATATGTATAGTAAAAATAGATTCTGTAGTAATTGTTTCTATATTATAATCATGACCTTTTCTATGATCATGATTACCTCTTCTACAATTACTTCTCTCATAGCCACCTTTTTCACAACCTTTTAAATCTAATATTAATATTTTATTTCTATAAATAATTATTAAGTGATTAATAATAATTTATCAGATTCATCATTAGGAATAATAGGCATGATAATATTAGTCTCTGTAGAAGTTATTTCTAAATTACTACTACTTTATTTATAATTATAGCTACCTCTTCTAGAACTATCTAATTATAAAAAAGTAAATAAAAGTTCATATGAAAATTAAACTTAATGATAAATTATATAACTAATTTGCAGCTTTTGTAATATTTTGTATTTTTACCATTTAAAGTTATTTTTACTTTTTGCTTCTTCTGTTATTTTTCTTTGAAAAAAATAAAGCAGATTTGCAAAAAGTTTATTTATTTATAAAACTTTAAATATAAATATGTAAGTTTTTGTCAAATGTAAAATGATGACTTATATAATTTTTATTTTTATTTTTATTAAATGAAGTTTAAAAACAATAAATCTAAAAAGAAGAAGTATACAAAATTTGAAAAATAATGTAAAATAATAAAATAAACTTTATATAGACTTTGAATTTTATATTAAAATCAATTTATTAAGATATTTAGTGATATTTTTAAGTATCTATATATTTTAGTATTTTATTTTTAGCATATTTTACAAAAATAAAATTTATAAGAAAGACAATAACAAATATGCTAAAAGTCTATTTTTTTGAATTTATCATACTATAAGTTAACTGCAGTTTCATGTGAAATGATATACAATTCCTTCCAAAAGTAATGGCGGTCAATTTTTATAACTTAACACATGTGATTTATTAATAAATCCAATTAAAATTTTTTTAAATAAAATATGAATATCATAGTTGTAACATTTATTAATTAATTAGTATTTAGTATATGCTCCTTCTGCATCAATACATGCTATAATTCAATTTGGCATACTATTAATGTAGTAAACTATTATATCATCATTAAAATCATCCTACTCTTCTTGAATTATATTATAAAAAATTTCAATTGATATATTTTTTTCTGTACCACTATTTTCTTAATCTTTATCTTAACTTTTCTTTTTAAAATAGCCCAAACATTTTCAATCAGATTAAGATTTAGATTATAAGATGGCCATGGAAAAACTGACCCAGAATGTGAGTTTTTAAGTTCCTTTGAATATTATGAGATTTGTGTTTCAGGTCATTATTTTGCTGAAAAATCTATTGATGACCTAATAATTCATTCGCATTATTATAGAGCTGATCGTTAAGAATTTGGCAATACAAATAATGATCAAGATTTTGGTAAACATATGCATGCTGATTCTTTCTTTAACATTGATCGCAGTACAGACATGCACTTTAAAGAGGTGCTTAACTATAAGTTAAATCAGTTTTCTATAACAGGACCATACAAGGGTTGTATTACAAAATATTCAGATCGTTATTTCATCAAAAAAAACTAGGGTTGGATTGGTCCAGTCCGGTCCAGTCCAGTCTAAAAAGACCAGTTTTTCATCTTTCTTTGGACTGGATCGGTCTATAAGTTAGTCCTAGGACTAGTTCTAGGACCAGTCTTATACTATTCGGTCTTACCAGTCCAATCTGGTCCAAGATTTATTTTTTTCTCGAACTTGACTGATTTATAAGACTGGTTCAAGGATCGGTTTAGAACATACTAGAAAAATATAAATGATCAATTTAATAAAATAATTATATAAATTAAATAGAAAAGTATAATAAAATAATTGCATATGAAACAATTTCTACGCCTTCTTAATCTTGTTATTCTGATATTTTTATTTTAGACATTATCATTACAGTAAACTATTATGACAGGTCTAAGGATTAACTTATAGACTGGACCGCTCCATAAGAGAGATGAAACCAGGTCGATCTAACTCTAATTTTGTAATATTTTATAAATCAAACAATCTATTTAGTATTTATAAAATTAAAATAATATGTATAAATAATAAAAGACCAGTCCAGACTGGTCCTCAAAATATGGACTGAGAATTACAAGGACCGGTCCTATTAACTGGTCTAAGACTGGTCTTACCAGGACTGATCCATTCCGTAAAAAACCACCTTTTTCTAATCGTATTACAAATGATCTTGTGCTTAAGACAAGCGAATGTCTTTCACTTTTTGGGTCAAAAGAGGAACTTTTTGCAGAAGAACTGCTACATAACTGAGCCTAGAAAGTTCTTAACAAATAGTTGTTTTACTATTTCTAATTCTGATTCATTTTCTTCTAATATAGCCTTCAGTTCCCAAATTGTAGTGAAATGATTATGCTTAATGATCATTCTGATATGCTGATGTTTTATGGAGGTTAATTTTCATGGGTGACCAGATTGATGAATGTCTGAAATATTGCAAGAACATAAAGGAACTCCAGTTCAGTTGGAAATTTCCTTTGCATTATAAATATTTTTATCCCAAAGATATTTTACAACTTCACGATTTGCTTTAATAGACGTTAATAGTATTTGGTATAATAGTAATTTAGGTTAAGTTTAAAATAAACAAATAACATTTATGATCAGGTTTTTTTGTTTATTTTGTTAAAAATAATATCATATTACCTAAATCAGCCTAATTAATAACGAGTCAAATTGGAATACCAGAGAAACTGTGACTAAAATATTATTTAACATTCCCACTGCCATTACTTTCAGCGGGGACTGTATCTATTTTTAGTATTTCATTAATTAATATCTATAAATGTCTAATTCAATTAAGCAAAAAATGTAAAATAGTCATTTTTATAAATATAACTTTTATTTATGTAATACTGATATTTTTAATTAAATTAATTAAAATAAAAAAAACACAGTTGATCAATTAATATAATAATAGCAATCATTGTCTAAATAATAAAACTAACGAAACTTTTATATATAAAGCTAAATAATAAATAAACTATGTTTTTGTGGCGTAATTTTTCATAAATAAACTTATAGTATTTTTTTAAAAATTTGAAAATGTATTGTATTTCATTAACAAAACCACTATCTTTACGCTAAAGTACCAACTTTTCTAGTCGAAATCTTCTTCAAAGGCATAAATGTAAATATTATTATTAATTATTAAGTAATACAAGCAGTCTTGATAATCCAAATCTTTGATAAACATGATATAATAACTCTTGACAACTAATGTCTAAAATACAATGCTGATAATGATATAATAGATTTTTTTTTGAATCTGGTTTATCAAGACTGCCTATATATTAATTATTAATATTTTGAGATAAATTTATCTAACATTTATTTAGCATTGGGACTAGGTTCTAAAGAAAATAATAAACTTGAATTGCAAAATAATGAAACTGAAAGTAGTAAAACTGAATTGCGAAATGAAACAGAAGTTAGTAATAATAATGAGGATGATGATTGCTATGATGATTACTGTAATGATAATAATTATTACAATGATGATGATAGTAGAAATGTAAATGAGGACAATAATTATTACAATTATGATGATGATATTAGAAATGTGAATGAGGATGCAGTAGAAGAAGATTATGATTTGGAATATCTTGACAGTGCCGATAGTGTAATCTATGCTTTCTCTGATTTGTAAACGTGTTGTATATTTAATAAAATTTTTTCATTTAAAATAAATAAAGCATGAGGAAGATGCAATAGCTGATTCATCAATGAGTAGTGATCAGTTGCCAAATATAAATAGATGTTTTGCTCCTTAATAATGTAACTTCCGCATTGTTTTCTGTTGGATACAAAAACATAATATTTGTAAGTTTGTCTTTTATTATATTGTTTAGTAATAAATACATGCAATAATCTATAAGCATATAATTATTTGCTGTATATTAAAATTTAGCGACAAATGCATATAACGATTTAGTGAACATATTACAACATTCTGAATTCGATGTAAAAGAAGTTGTAAAGAATGTAAGAAGATTTCGGCAATGGAGACGTCGTTTGCCATTAATGCCAATAAGGGTACGCTCTATCAAAATAAACCAAAAGAAAATACTATCTACATCTAAAGAAATTAAAATATGTTGTTTTTTATCAATTTGTGATATTCTTTAGAATATATGGGAGGGTTTCTAGGAAAATCAAGTTCCGAGAGATTTTTCACTTAAATTAAGATCTTAATACATTTTAATCTAATAACATCAAAAACTAAAAATTCAATAAAAATCTCAATTTTTTTAAAAAATTCCCGGAACCTGATTTTCCTAGCAATCAACTCATATTAAATAACCTGTTACAATATAACACATTATACTTTAGACCAGGAGTAGAAGTTGAAAAAAAAAATGAATTCTGGTATGGGGATCTCTGGGCTGAATCGCCATTATTTGGACAAGACAAAATAAGCATCAATAAAGGTGTTTTGATTTATTATTATTAATTCATTGCTATTAATAAATGAAATCATACATATTGTTTATTTATAAAACTATTTACTTAGAAATTTATCGTTCAAGTGAATTTATTATATATAAAGAAAATAGAATTCAAAGATTTGGACGAATATGATCAATAATATCTATTAATAATGAACTTCAAATAAAATTACAACGAATTTATACTTATAATGAATTACCAAACCACTTTTACTGCAATGCACGATCAATTATACACCAATTGCAATTATGGTTAGTAGATCAGTATTTGGAAGAGGGTAATATTATTATAAATGCTAATGAGATTGTTAAAAAGGTTGATATTACAATTATTCGTGATTCAACTATTATTACTGATAATATATTTATTAAAGAAGTTTTATATAAAAATAATGGCTATTAGAAATTACGAGAAGTATCACTAGATTATATGCATCTATACGAATATTCTACTCTAAATTTACCACTATCACAATATAGAAATCTCTGAGTTTTAAAGATATTTATTGATATTTATTATGATGATTTTGGAACTTATCGAAATATTTATCATTCACTAGGAGGAGTATATATTCATTAGGAAATATACTATTTGATTTAAGAAAACATCTTTGTAATCAATTTGTTTTAGGCTTTGTTCTATTTGGCGGTTGTTTTAAAGATTTTATTCATCCTTTATTAAAAATATAAAACAATTAGAAAAGAGAATATTAATAAATGTTCAAGGAAGTGATTGTTGGATTATAGCAAGTCTTAGATGTGTTACTGCAGACTTACCTCAAAGCAATGATTTATCAGGTGTAAAACGGCATAGTGCAATAAAGGGGTGTAAAACATGTCAAGTTATCAAAGAAAATTATACAGATATCACATTAGATATTACTAGTATTTCTCATTACCATCACATTACAAATGCTCAATTTGAAGAATTATTTGCAGCTTCGACACTTATGCAATGAGATGATATTGCAAAGAAATATAGTTTGCAAAATTCTCTTCCAATTCTTGATCAGCTTCAACGAGAATGACATCTGCAATCCCCACAGGATATCTACCACCTAATAGCTAGCAAAATAGCAAAACTATTCAAATTGACAATTGCCATACTATCTCCAGAAGGCAACAAAATATTTATTAGTGTTTGGAAATCATTTGAATATCCGTCTCAATGATCAAAACTTCCAAATCCTATTAGCCATATTGAAAGTCTTATGATGTCAGATTATCTTCGATTAGGAATGGTAATGCCATTTATATAAATCGTTTTTTTAACCATTAACTGCTTGAAACAACAAGACTTAGCAAAACTGCAAGAACGAACAAGCTTAAATCGTGGTCAAGTGATCAATAATATCATTAAATGCTGGGCAATTGTAGCGAGATGCTCTCAGTTAGAATTTAGAATTTCATTAACGAATGATGACTATATAGATTTTGAAATTTTGTTAAAAAAGGAACGAAAAGCATTGATAGAGGTAAAATTCATATATGCATTTAGTGGTACAATTCTGTATTTTTAAACTAACTTTTCTATATATTACTATATTGTATACATAGTTATTTGAAGAATTTGTAGGCCTTCCTAATCTTCATGCTGGTTATAATTTACTGCGGCATGCAAGAACCTTTGGAACTCTCATGAATACTGAAGTTGGAATGAAGGAAATGGTCTATCGTATCTTTAAAAGGATGGTTCCATATACCAATTGTAAAAATATTGAATTGGACTTATTAAAACGTTATGTAACACTACAATCAATTCGACACCTTGTCGATGGTGGAATTGACTCTCGAAACTTACAACCTAACATTGGTTTTATGAATATATCTCAAAATGCTAAACGTTTTTAAGATTGGTTTATTATAGAAAATTTGGAGATAAATAATGAGGAATCTAAAGGTAATAAAATGTTTATTTATATATTTTAAATGGATAACAATATGCTAACATTTTTATAGTATATTCACAATCTAGTCGTATTCGAAACATAGAGCTAAGAAAGCCAATAATTATTCGCAATACAATGATCGAAATAGATAAAGTTTCATTTCAAACTGACTTGGCTCTTGCTTATAACAGTTTTGGTTGCTATGCATCACTGATTAACAAAACTTGCAAGTTTTTACGAATATGTATCTTATGTACAAGATACACAAAATTATGAAGTCCGATACCATTTAAACAAGAACGATATAGTGACAATTCAAGTGGCCGATTATGGTGAAAGTTACGCAATTATCAAAGGAATCTTCAAACACAAGAGCAATGATGGACATTTTTACCTGTTTATTTACATTGATTGGTTTGAAGATACATATAAAGAAGCATGGAAAATTAGATTGTCCGATTTTTGTCCTTTGTCACGAAAATTTTTATCGCAAAATTTTTTCGTTAACAGTTGTAGATGGAGCTCGAAAGGTGCATTTCGTACATGATTGTAATGTAAGATGCAAGGATAATCATAATTTAGAAAATAATCATTATTTAAAAAATGACTTCTTTTTTAAAGCTATTTAATATATGTAATAGTTTTATTTATCCTTTGATTTCGTTTCTATTGTTTCTTATTTGTACTAACTTCATTTCTTTTCTTTACAGCTTCAGGTACTTTTGAAAGATGAAACAACAAATTCTTCCTTTTCCATTTATTTCATTTCCTGTTGGCACCATAAATTATGGATAATCAAACTGCTCTGGAGAAAAAATGGGGTGATTTAACTGAAACATGGCCAATTATTAAATCGTAACTTTGTAATTCTTGATTTCTATTTATTTTATTTCAAGCATACATTACTTCTCACACTCTCTCTTTGGACTCCTTTTAATTGCTGGTATTCCTAAAAACACTTTTAACTTATTATAATTAGGATTGGAAGTTTTCAGAGTTTTTACGTCAGTTTCCTTTTCACCGATTATCTCATCACGATTTGCACACTTTTCTCCAAAATCTCAGTCTGTTCCGATTATTCACCTAACTTTAATTAGATTTTCAAAATTAATGTTGTATCCTGTTTTTCCTCATCCGCAAAGGAGGACAAAAAATTCTATATTCTTACAATTTCTGAGATAATTATAAAATTTTCCCAAATTTATTTATCTTTTTTTTAAACGATGTGTGAATGCTCTCACGATTAATTGATCATTTTTGTACTACCGTTGAAGAATCTTCATGACAGTGAAACGACTCCCTAAAAAATCATAGGAAGGTAATTGTCTATTGTTTTAATCATTATTATTACGAATTTTAGTATTTAACAGTAATAATACTTTAAAAGACGTTTTTGGAGATTCTATGAAAATAATAAGAATTTTGCTTGGATTTTAGCATTAAGAAATAAATGCGGCGCAGAACATCACCGGACATAACTTGGACTTCTTATATTTATTTTTATTCTAAAAAAAATCATTTTATTATTGCGATTTAATTACATTTTATTTAATCATTTATTCTATGCGAAATGTTTTTTAAGTCAATATTTAGATGACTATATGCACGACACGATAAATTCTGACTTTATTTCCGAGTTCCGAAAAACTATATTTTATATCAAATGTTTAATATGAATATATTGGGTAATTTAAATCAAAGTTATTTATTTTTATTTAAAGGAACATTTTTAAGCAATCGCAAGTTAAAATAAAATAAAAATTTTATTTTATTTATTAAATTAATATACATATAGTTTTTTTTACTTTTAAAATTTTTTTAAGAATCAGATTTATCACCTCTATAATGTCGACATAAAGCAATACGCCAGAAATTAGAAATATAAAATTAACGCTCCATATCACTTTTATATAGCCGACACAAAGAAATAAGGTAGAAAGAAACTAGACGACCAAAAAAATAAAAATGCTACCTGTACGTGACCATATAGTCATATGATGGTCACATGCTGGTGGCATTAAAGTCACTAAATCAGGGGTTTCAGTAAAGTTATTCTACGTGACTAAGTAATAATTAATCGTTTATATTATTCTCTTGGTTGAATAGTAATCAAATTATATCGAAATTTAAAGGGGAATTAAGAATATTATGTTGACAAACGACAAGTCAATTTTTTTTTTTTTTTCAAAAAATAAAAAATGATTGCTCCTATTCAACATTCGACTAGCAAATATAGCAAATCATCAACATACGTAAGATAGGTAAGTCGGACCTAAAAAGTTCCGTCTCTTCACACTCTTACTACGAAATTTTAAAAGGATATAAAAAAATAGAGAGAGAGGGAGAGAGAGAAATAGAGATATATATATAAAATTTTTAAAAAAAACAACTCAGAAATATCGAAATGCAGGCGAAACAAAACAGATATACAAGAAACGAAAAGAAAAGAAAAACTGCTGCGTGATATATCCATGTTTCTTGGGTTTTCAACCAAATAAACAGATAAAATATAACCCTTCGCTACTCTTCGCTACTATCACTAAGAAAAATCATCCAATATTTTGGCAACTGATTACTAGAGGACCATGCGAGAATGTAGAGTAGGTGAGGAATTTTTTTTCCTCGATCCTTCAAGCTTTTTAAAAAGATCTCGGAATAAACGGCTATATATCCTAAATTTATCTTGTGCTCAGTCGATCATGAGCGAATTTTCTTCGTATGGTAATTCTGGAGGTATGATCCACAAAAAGGTTCGGATTTTATCTAGGGTAAATTGCAATTTTTCACCCCCAAGATTAATAAAAAAAAAAAAAAAAAAAAGGTTAAACAAAAACACCAAAATTTTAAATATAGAAGCATTTGCTGTTGATAAAGGATATTCCTCTTCTACAATTATGTTAAAATTTCAATAAAATATTATATAATTTATAAAGCATTAATAGCGGCACAGCTACAGAACTCTAATTCCAATTGAATCTATAGAATATTACCATTTACTCCATTTACTTTCTCCTGTATAAAGTTTATGTAGGAACAAAGGTATTTGTAAAAACAAATTTGTTAGGCCGAAGTTAAACTCACCAAATTTTTTTAGGTGTGACTATGTAGAAGGTCGACTGTATATTGAAATCAATACTTTGAATCTCACCCATACGTACTGTACTCTATAATATTTTAATCAGTATAACGGTACGGACTTATTCTGTAAATTCGTCCAAAGACTTTTTGCAAGTTCGAATTAAAAAGAATTGTAAGAACTTATAAATATAATTGTTTCCAACTAATAACTCCTTTTCATGTAATAACGTTCACTATACCGGAGGACGCTTTTGAACAATATCTTTGCTAAACGTTGGAATTTCGTAGGGTATAGCGTCTTCGCCCCCGGTAAGTTAATATGCTTATAATCTAATACTACGTCTATTTTTTATAAACAATTTTCGTCATCAAAATACATCACTCCACCTTAAAGCGGAACGAAGCCATATACGTATTTATTTTATAATGCCAAAGTATTTAGATCACATTTTTAAAATCAAATAAAATTATATTTTCCAGATAACTTTTAAAATAATAGATCAAATTTTATGCAATAAACATACAAAATGATATTTTGAATTTGGCATTTTACCACTTAATGATGTTGTCATATAATATTTGTGAGATCATTTAATTTAGCACCTTGGCTTTAAAAACAAATCAACTAAAAAAAAAAAGAATAAAATTGCCTAATCACTCATCGTTTGAAGGATTCCAACATGATATAGTATGTATGTACATAAATACTTTTTTAATACAAAATGATTAAAACGATATATTTTTTTGACAATACAATAATACTTTTAGTTTCAGGCTTTTACCTAATAAGGAGCATTTTTTTTTTTTTTTTTTTTGCGTTAGTTGACTATCTAAGTTGACTATCTCACAATACGGAAGGATCGTCTGGTAAGTAGTCTCTTGCAAATTTGTCTCAGTATTAAATCATTTAAACTTTCAGCATTTTTTTCGAAACCCGTTTAGTTGCGAGGCCGCGGATTAAATTAAATTTTGTTTAATGAAATATTAGTAAATAGCGTTTTACTGAATTTTTTTTTTGAAAAGATTAAAAATAGAATCTGTGTTATTCCATTATATAAAATTTTGGAGTCCTACATGGTTTCTTTTGGATAGGATAAATAATCATGTCGGTATTATCAAAAGGGGCCTCGCCAATTGAAAAGCTCATATAACATATAAATTAGTGATGTGATGCAGAATCCCCAAACTGCTTGCGTTTGCAAATTTGTTGTTTCAAACATTTTGAAAGTTGCAAAGTCGATGGAACATATGAACGTATCGATGAAGGAAATGTATTGTTCAATAAGAAACAATAGTAATGATGAACAATTGTTATTTTTTTTTACACCTACAATATATAACTATTATACTTTCGCGGAGACGGCAATTTTATGGTAAACAAAATTGTCGTTATTAGCCAACGTTGAATCTGATTGGTCAGATTTAGACATTTTTTCGTACAACAATAAATATTTAATTTTAAGAAAAAAATGCATAATTGCGTAATCTTTTTAAATAATGAACGATACTCTTCCTCTCATATATATCCAGTCTCAGATAAATTAAAATATGGAGGCATAACGACAAATGGTGCCCGAGATATTTTGTGACTCCAACTTTAATGATGACATTGTAATCAATAATTTAGTTAAATCGGTGAAGTGATTTTAATAAATCCGTATATATGGAAATAATCACAAATAAAAATGTGAGAAAATAACTAAGTAACCGCCTTATTGTTGCGCTGCATGATCACAGGTTACAAATATTTTGTCCATTTTCCCACACGTATGTCAGAATGACCTTCCCGGGTTATTTATACATTGATTTTGGAAAGAAAAATGATGAATATTTTACACCAAAAAAGGCATCCAAAGACATTATGAGTATTCTCCGCACGGTCTTAAAATAATTTATTTTCTTTTTTTTTTGAATGTGCTTTCAATCGTATGACAAAAATACCGTATCTATGGTGTAACCGAAACTTTAATAATCCAAAGGGTATTGCCATACTCTATTATTTTATTCTCTTATTCTACCTGAAATTAACATATTGAAATTTACACATACATTTAAAATGAAATCAAAATGAAGTAAACAAAATATTATACATTGATATGAAAACATATAATCTATTCATTATCCGCAATAAAACGTCATATATTCCCTAGCGAAATTCCCTCAATAGAGTAAATAAGGAGTCTCGTGCGAAAATTCATCATCCCTTCTTTCATGCAGTGATGATGTGCATTAAGTCGGCGCAAGGTTCAATGAATTTTTGGTTTTTTTTAATGGAAATCCTTTTACTTTGTAATTAGGTCGCACAAGGTTGTACAAAAAGGGACAATAAGTTGAAAAATCACATTTTTAAGAATGTAATTAAAATTTCAATATAAAAAGAAGACAGAGATTTTAACCTTTCCGTCGTGTTGTTTTCATACACCTAAATACCAAAAAAAAAAAAAATAAAACTCATTATATTAAATTATGGCCGAGGATCCAGTGTGGGAAGATTCGACTGTAGATACAATTAATCCGAATGTTTTTCGTAAAGAATTTCGCCGACCTTTTAATGAACCTGACGGTCCTATTACTTGGAATCAAAATATTCGAGGATTATTCACTGAGAATAATGCTCGTTGTATGATTTCCAAGAATAAAAATCTCACTTCATACGATGACGTGAAAGATAATGCCGAATTGATTTATCAAAAATTGTCTCGTAAGGAAATGCCTCCGGGAGATCCTTGGTCTGAATATCAGATTGGACTGTTTAAAAGGTGGATGGAAGGAGAAAAGGATAAGGATGGAAATTTTGAACAATTTCGATTGGGACCTACTCCTTCAGCAACTGATTACGGTAAAAAAATCAGGGATGCTCCGTATAAATAGGGAAGGTACAGAAAGTCTTTAATAGATGAATTTTTCATTTTCTTTTTTCTTCGAATTTCATGATTTCATGATTTATTTTTATTTATTGTTCTGTATTTTATCTTGTATTTATTTATTTTTATTTTTCTTATTTGTATTTTTAATTGTATTATTAATTTATATAAATGACTTTTTTCATATAATAAAATTTCAAATTTTATGTTTTAAAATGCTAAATGAAGCATCGTTGTTATATTGATCTTATCCTTTTTGCACAGCATTCATTCATATGGGGCATTTTTATCTAGTACTTCTCTCGCAGATTTGGGAAGTTCCTTAAAATTGCGCAAGCATACCAACTGATTGATGCCAATAAGAATTAAAAAAAAACAATTTATCATAAAATAATTATTCAATGTACGTCAATATGACCATACGCCAAGATTATCGAATTTTCATCATCTAAAGATAAATCATTATATTAATTTGTTATACAATAATTAAAAAACTAAGGTAAAAACAGATTATGATATTTTGTCAACCTACCCGAGTCTGGGAAATGCAGCAATATCTCTTTGAATTGTATTAACTAGATTCAATGCATTCTCGGAGACCGTGTAATTGGTTGTTTTGTTCCCCACCCAAGAACATAGAAGAAATGTCCATGCAAGTGGGTTAGATGTTCCATTTTATCGGAATCTAACGTAAAGCAAGAATTAAAACACTCTTCGCATACATAAATCAATTGCTTAATAAACAATAACTATCTTTAGAAAAAGATGTCGACGGTGGCATCTCTTCGATTAGATTGTAAAGTATTCTTATGTGCATCCCACGGTTTATATCCATCATTTTTAATCTTTAATACATTCAAGAGGGTATTATCCAAGACATTACTAAAATGACGATGTTCAGCATGGAGCTACGCCATTGGCCCGATCTGCGACATAATCAAAAGGTACTGTTCTCATCCATCATGGGTTTCTTAATATTGTTAGTAACAGGAGTCAAAACCCAATATATACTTCTCGCATCAGGCGGATTCGGTTCTTCGGATTCGGTAGTCTTTCTCCATTCGCCTTTCGATATTTGACTTTCCATGGAAGTGTTAGTAGCCATGCTTTTGAGCCGATAGGACAACCTCTTATATTATTCAGATTTGCAATATAGTGAACATCGCATCCTTTTTTTTATTTTAGGATGTTCGCATTTTGATGATTGGCGTACGATCGCCTTTCCTTTATTTGGAAATTTAGGAAGTATGGCAAGTGTAAACGAATAAATTTCATTTCGTAAGTAGCCTGACACATTTTTTCTTTTTACGAATTTCACATCATCGTCGAGGCTGATCTTTATGTAAAAATTTTCCTTATGGAATTGAAATTAACCTTAAACGTTATATTTTACTTTTATTTTAAAATTTTGATTTAAGATATAAAATGTTTTTTAAAAAAAAAAAATTAAATAAAATAATCTGCATTTTTTGACCCTATGTGGTGATGTAAGTACTCTTATTGGTTGGCATTGTATCAATATTTGATATGATCGATTTGTAGAAATAACTAAAGAAATCATCCTTGATTCGTATGATATGTTGCGTGGAACATTTGGGATATTTAGATAGTAGTTGGTTCTTTATTTGCTTTTTCATGTGATCTATATCTTTATTTGTTTGGTATGCGAGCACTATCTTCAATCACGGAATAATGTTGTTTCCATAAACAAATAAATTGGAAAAATTAGTACAAAGGTTAATAATATTGTTTTACTACTTTTAAGTAACAGTTAAGCAAAATTACCAAAAAGTTTAAGAGTCAATTCCTCAAATTGCTAAAAATTAAAATGGTATATCTTTTTACAATGTAAAAGCTTGCATTATGTTACACAAACTTATCTTGCCGTTAAAGAATTTTAATAACCCTTTAAAGAAATTATGAGCATCTTCTTTTTTTGAAAAAATATAAGGATTCATAGTATATATATTTATATTCATTTTTTAAAAGTAATTTGCGCAAAAAATTATCAAAGTAATTCTTGATGTCCACCTTCAAAATTCCGAGCGATGAAAAAGCTCAAAGATCACCATATCTGCATTTATGGAATAGCAAATTTTATCATCTTTAAGACTACCATTTGTATTTAATGTTTATACAAATCAAATTGTTTCGTAAAGAAACTATTTTATAAACTTATAGCATAGTAAAATATACTAATTTATGTAATAACTTAGATTGTAAATTTATTCGAGAACTTTATTTACTTTATTTGTGATAATAATTATAGCGATTTTGACGTATAAGCTAAAAGTATAAGCATTATTCTTAATTAGAATTTATATTTTATACCAATGAATTTATAAAAGTTATTAAATATTATTTCCTTAAACAAAATAATTATTAGTTAAAATCTTTTAATTTATTGAAATATAAGATTATCTTCCTAATAATAAAACATTAAATTTTAAATTCTATAACGATAGCAGTGTTAGGATGCTTCGTTATTTGTTCCAATAACGAACTGCTGTCAACTGCTACTTCATTAAAATATATAGTATTTTTTAATACTTTTTAAATCTTTTTTTTTTGGCCTTGCTCTGTATTCATTAAATAATAAAAACCTTCAACTTTCATTTTCTTTTTAATTAATTTTTTTAAAGACTTTGATCACATCAGACTACTGCAACGATTACATAATAGATTACACCGTTTTATGGGTGATTTCGGATACAATTAAAATGGTAGAATGAACAACCAATCTGTACTGATATATGCTTTATCCAAGTTAAACAAATATCTTCTCAGTGTATGATAAAAAATTTGATTAAAGCAGTTATAATATTTAAAAGAATTTCAAATAAAATTTTACCTTTTTTTTAAAAAAAAATAATACTAAACCTATTTTGGAAAGAAAATATGGGGTAAATGTGTAGCACATGATTTCTTTATAAAGCGCATTCCTATTAATTCTTTCCTTTTTCGAATTATTTGTAATTTGCTTGATTAAAGCGGTAACTCAAGTACGTGACCAATTATAAACATTACGCATTTTGGACAACAACGAACGGAAAAAAAAAATTCGTAAATCCATTTTAGTTTTTTTAAATATTATTGTAATTGTTTTATGCGAACTTAGCTTTCTTGCAAATATTTTGATAAACTATATTTGAAACCATAAAGCATATACCGTACTGTATACTGATGTTTTTTCCCCCTTATTTAAGTTACGATTCAAACTTAGATTTTGATATTAATTTATTTTCTTTTGGTAAATAAGGATGTTGTGAAATTTAATTTTAATTTACATGTGCTCCAATAGGAAATGATGGATGCTAAATTAAATTCATTATAAATAAGTTATAATATGAAGTATGACGCTAAAAAATCATTTTTTTTTTTCTTTAGAAAGAAAAAAAGTCTTTATAATCCTCAACACAAATAAATCGAAAAAAAAAAAAAAATTTATTAAAAATGAAATTTTTCACTTTCACTTTCATCATTTTATTGTTTTTAATTTCTACGACGTTAAGTTTACCACATACATCTGATAAATCTATCAAACGAGGCGTTAATTCTGAAATGTAAGTGATCGCTTATTTATTTAAAAGAAATTTCTGTTAATTTGTTACATCGATAGAAAAGAATAAATATTAATGATTAATAAATTTTTTTGTAATTATCAAGGTTAACCAAACGTCGATGTACCGGAGTAAATAGACGCTGTGGACCAAGCAACGGTTCAAAAGATAATGATAAAGATAATTTATTACCTGGAGGAATATTATAAACAAGTGATTTTTGAATTTACATTCAGGGATTGACAATTACCATATTTTTTTTTTTTTTTTTTTGAATTTAATAGCAATAGAAGAATTTTCGATCTTCTATATAATAAATTATATAAATAATTTAGATTTTATAGAATAAGTACTATTAAAGAATAGAATTTTACATCTTTCATTATATCATTACAAAAAATAAACAAAAAAAAATATTTGCACTTTCGTTATTACGGGAAGTAAAAACGCATTTATCAATGTAAGAGCTTGATTTTATCTTCGAGAAATTTAATTATTTCTTTCGAATAAGATGATTTGTGGCGCAGGAATTGATCAATTTTATATGTTGAAATAATTTTATTTTAAATAAATACATATTATTAAATCCTTGATTTAATAGCAATTCGTGAACTAGCCTTCTGTATTAAAATATAATAATAAGACCAATAAATTTATTTTGTTTAAGTATTTGCCATAATTACGAAATAATTCGAATGAATCATTGTTTTTTGAATAGTCAATATTGACCGAATTGTTTAATATAACTTTATCTATACAGACAAACCTCTCTAAGTGCACCTAATTGGTGCTATAAAAAGACGAGCGTGAATTTAGAAAGAGCGTGCATTTATAGAATGTGCATTTAGAGAGGTATTTCTATAAATTAAATTTACAAATCCCTTAAAATTGATTTTTTCATTTAATTTAACAATATCACGTTACGGAACATATGATTTACTACGTACTTAACGCGATTTTAATAGCAAACCTCCCATTTATACAATTAATATGAATAGTTAAAATATACAATAACTCTATAATCAGAATCAAAAAATTCCCATTATCTTCAAATGAAATGGATTTATTTATTATGGATATTGGAATCTCTTTCATTCTTCTTTTTTTAGCATTAGTTGAATTGAACATAAGACATGGTATAATGATAGAACTTCTAATTTCACAAATAGACATGTGAATAAGGATATTTTATAATATATGTTTTTTAATATTTTTATAAAAATCATTTAATAGTAAAACTGAATATTTAAAATTAGTACAGTAAATTTATATATCAGTTTACTACGGTGTAAAATTTTTTTTTCATTTTTTTGATTATTAATCTCGGAACACGATTTTAATAGCTGGGAATAATTGTATCGATTATTCAAAAGATTTTCTTTAAAAGTATTCTGCTTCCTTTTGATGGGATTAATTAACAATATATTTTATGTCAAAAGGGAATTTGTAACAAAAGTATTGGACGTTATGAAAAATTGTTTCTCTTTAAAGCCAATTACGTTAAATATTTAATGCTAAAAAAGGTAATTATTGTACGTATTAGATAAGTTTCAGGAAAGTAATACACAAAATTTCTCTAAATCGTACTACAATAATTTTTTAATGAATTGATAGATACTGGAAAAAAATTAGAGATTCATAAATGATAAAATATTTTTAGATAGTATTCATAGAAATTTGTGACACCGGTCCACAAAAAATTATCAAATCATTGTTGAGGTTATTATTAAATACAACCGCAAAATTAAACCATAAAATTACCTAACGTATGGCCTCTTTTCTTTTATTTTTTATAGAAAAATAATAAAGACTTTCATTTTGAATAATTTAAATTTATTTAGTTTGTGTTTGTATATTGTATAATTTATATGTCATCGAAAATTCATTAAAAATGCATCGCACAATAGTTTTGTGCTACAATCGTAAATACTGTATATATAGTATTTAAAAAATTTTGCATTTCTAACTATTTAATTTTAATTCAAATTCTAAAAAACTTTATTTAAACTTAAAATTTAAACATAAAGTTAATTATTAATAATCAAAAATCTATTGATTAAAATTCTATCTTATACAATCATTACTTAAATTATTATGTATTTCAATAATTATCAACAATATTCACGTGGTATCTCTTCTCGCAATCATACAATTCACCCAAATTCATACTGCATGTATCACCTTCACAGTATCCCGGACAATAGTACACATGCACCCACACATCATAATCGCCGGGAACCAAGCTTTTAGTAAGATTGCTCGTCCAATTATTATATACCCAACAGGCAGAAAAAAATGAATTTGGAAGATTTTGATCTTTACATTGCTGAGCTTGATCAAAGTTTTTTCGTGCAGGTTCGTCTTCCCTGTAATAAATATTCTGAACGATTTCATTCGTGTTATGTTTGGCTAGTGTGATGGCTTTCACGAATGTATAATAGTCATTTGGATCACCATTGTCTAAAACTATTCGTCGATCTACATTATTTTTAATTACCGGCGTTCCATCTTTCAATGTTTTCCATTCATTATGTTCATTGGTTAC